TGCTGATTCAGGAATTCTTGTTGACGAACAGGTTTGTTATTGTTTTTTTTTCTCTATGCTTTTCTATATTTTGTATTCTTTAGTTATTACGTAATCGTCGTAATAAAGCAAATTTTGCTTTACAAGTTGATATAAAAGGTTCATCGTCGGATAGTGAAGATGTATCTGAAGTAACACGACGTCCATTTAATCGTATAAAATCATCCATAAATGATGATATGTATGAACATCATAGTGAATTAATAATAACAGCTCCAAATTCAAATAAAAATCGACAACATTCATCAATAAATAATAAACATTTAGAACAATCAATAAAATCAGCTAAAGAAATTGAACAACAAATTTTACAATTACGTCGTGAACGAGCACATATACTTGAGTTACTTTCATTAAATTGGAGTCGATCAAATATATGGGTTGAATTAACTGAAGCTAAATTAAATTATATTATTGGAGAAACAGGTAGAAATTTTAAAAAAATTTTTCTAAGAAACTTAGTGAGACAAAAGTTTTGCATGTCCATTTCTTCAACATTGATGTTTTCTTTTTTTATTCAAAAGAAAGATGCATCATTGAATATACTACTGAGATCACAAAACGAAATTTTTATAGCGACTTTCTTTTACATCAAAAATTATATTAGTAGTGATTTCTTGTCAATAAATTTTTTCGAGACAAGTTTTCTTAAGCTATTGTGATTAAGTGTCACAAAACTTAAGTGACATCCGGCATATATGAACCATTACATACAAAATGGAACATTATGACCTTTCATTTGTCTTTGATTTTTTACAAGGGTTGTTTAGTCTTTTTAGAATAAACATATACAAAAATGTTCGTTCTTTCAGATGACTAGTAATTAAAAAGCAATTAGAGAATACATCTCCTAATCATAAGAGAAAAAGAATCTGAAGAATTCATGATAGACTCTATGATATGATTATACATCTATGATACAATTTTCAGTTAGATAGGATCTAAAAAAAACAATTTCTTATGAAAATCGTTTTTTTTTCTGGAGATTATGAAGAAGAATTGAAACCATTTAGGATTGTTAAAAGTGTATGAAATTCAACATCTCTTAACATCAGGCTTTTTACTGATAAATCCTCTGAACAAAAATCTCTAACGCTGATATTTTTAGAATAAGTTAGCATATATGTAACATATTAAGAATAGCTGTAGGACAGTAAATTATTCTGAGACATAGATGTTCTGATTTTTCGAAATAACATCGCTAAACAAATGACTTTGATCAACTAGACCAATATATTGCAACGTTTCGACATGATAAGATTTTAATTATAACTTTTATTTCTACTGACTAATGCGCATAAAACTTTTTTTTTTGTCCTATTGTGTTTATTTTTCTAAGGATTGCATATCAAATTTGACCTAGATACTTCATTACCCAAACTAAGTCATGAGAAACAAATTACCATAAAACATTGTTTTTTTTATTGGATGACATATTTGAAGAAAAAGGAAATTTTTTCCATTAGGACAAAACAAAAGAAAAAACATTTAGATAATCCAGATTATATGTCGTTTAATGTTCTAGCAAATTATACACTTAATCTAAATTGTATTTCTTTTTATACAATGACACAAATTCGACCTTAGGTCTTCTTATAATAAATTTATTAACATAGGCATCATATGAGAAAAAAAAACTTTTTTCTTATTAGCTTCGTTTTGAAGAAGAAAACACAAGAATTCTTTTGAAAAAAAAAAGGTCATCGTAATCATTTCGTACAATAATGATTTGAAAATTGTTTACTCTATCATTCTTCAATAAGTCATTCAATTTAGCTCAAATGTTTATAATTAGATATAAGATTACAATATTCTCGAAAATTTGTTTTTCTTTTCTCAAGTATACTTTCACTCAGTAAAATATAACAAGAAAATCTAAATGTATTATAGATTGTTGTTAACTACTTATTTCTCAAACTGAATAAGTAAAGCTAATTTAATCAATGAATTAATCTAAATTGAATTGTACATGTATTTTCCTTAATATTAAATAAATTCATTCGGAATTTTTTTCCGTATTACATATACATTAAATATAATAGAACCATTTCTATTCAAACATTGTTTAGGTCTATTTTCTATTTTCTATACTAATCATATCAAAAAACTGCAATGTACTCAAATATTTTCTGTTTTTGTTTGTTTGTTTTTAAAGATGCATTACTTCGTTCATTATCATTTGATACTAATCCAATTGATAGTGAAAGAGTTAAATTAATAATGCATCAATATGAAGAAGATATGGCAGAATTAACACGTCAACGTTTGGCTGTTTATCGTGAACGTTTAGAAAATTCAAAAAAGCAATTAGATATGAAAATAGATGAATTAGAATTAAAAAAATCTACACTTGAACAAAATACATCACATTATTCAACACTTGAATATATGCCACGTGTTGATAATGTTAAACATTCAAAATCATTTTTAAGTACAAGTGCTGAAAATCTATCTAATATGCCTTTACAAGATAGTATATCCAGTCATCCACATTTACTGGATATATCATTTTTAACATCAACACCATCAAATCAAACAATTGGTCTTCCACCACGTTATCCTCGTTCACCACGTCTTCCTCAACAATATCAATCATCCGACACATATAGAACTGTTTATCGTCCAACACCACGTTATCCATCAACAATAACAACATCAAATGATCAACGTTATGATTATCCACGTTATAGAACAACATCATATGTAACACCAAATGGTAATTTATCTGGTTTACAAGGTCTAAGTAAAAGTCAACAAGCTATATTAGATGAAACAGATAAATTAGTTAAAGATTCACAAGAACTTCATAATGAATCAGCATCACAATTTGAACGTGCACGAGAAAGTTTATTATCAAGGTAAATAATAATATTAATTTTTTTTTTACTTTTTTTTAAATACAAATTCGCTATATAATAAAATTTTTCAGTACTTAATCTCTCAACAGGTAATTGATTATCCACTCTCTTCATATTTGCATGAACAAATGAATGAATAAATGAATGAATGAATGAATGAATAAATAAAATATGCTCACTAGCATGAGATTTTTTTAAGGAAAAAACAAAATCTAATGATAAACTATTCTTTTTATATTTTTGTAGTGAAGCATCAATACGATTAGCACGAGCGAATATGGCTGCATCACGTTATTCACCTAATTCAAACTATTTACCAAATGACGTTACACTTGCAGAATTATTTAAATATGAACAGTCATTAGCTAAAGAAACAGCAAAAAATACTCGAGCATATTCATCTCTATCAACAAGTGCGGAATCTTAGCATTTAACAATTTGTCTATGTGTATAGTCCTTGATTGATTTCTATATGTTTTTATGCCGTCCATTTGACGAAAATATCTGCACACACACGTATATATATATATACATATATGTCAGCGTCCAAACTGAGATTACGTCCAATCTCAGATTGGCCTAGGCGAATGTCGGATCCGAGATTGGACGCGTCGAATGTCGGATCCGAGATTGGACGCGTCCAATCTCGGATTCACGCAATTCAGTTCATTAAAATATCAATTACCCTTTAGACAGACCTTGGATTCGAACTTTTTTTTTGAAATTATGTTCACACAATGCCAGTTTGTTTGGCACAATTGTCATTTGGCAGATTTGAATAAAATTTTAGGAGTTATGAATAAATTTCTAGAGAACAACAACTTTTGTGAAAAACTTTTATTACATTTTTGAGTCTAAATTTAGCTTCTTCCTAAATGCTTGTAATACTTAAAACGGCATTGTGTGAACATAATTTAAAAAAAAGAGTTTGAATCCAAGGTCTGTCTAAAGGGTAATTGATATTTTAATGAACAGAATTGCGTGAATCCGAGATTGGACGCGTCCAATCTCGGATCCGACATTCGCCTAGGCCAATCTGAGATTGGACGTAATCTCAGTTTGGACGCTGACATATATATCTGCTGGTGCTGTCCTAGCTCAGTTTTGTTTTTTCTTTTCAATGCATGTGTAGTTTGTTGTTTTTTGCTATTGTTGTTGTTATTATGCAACATGTTTTCTTGTGTGTGTGTTTGTACTGGCTTTTCTTCTTTCTTTTTGAAAGCTCAACACATTTCTTTTGCCTATTTTTGAGATTTGTATGAAGAAAAAAACAAAATAAATGAATAATATTATTGTCATCATTATGATAAAATTTGTCACTTTTTTTCTCACATGCATAAAAAATACGATTTTCTGGTCGTATGAACAAACCTATTCCGCTTTGTTTTTTTTTTCTTTTTTTGGGCTAATGTCATCATTAAACAAAATAATAGTATGAACGTGCATATTCTTGGAAAAAAAATAGAAAAAGGAGATGGAAAATCCTGTTTGCATTTCTATGCGCACGGACGGTCACTAGTTTTTTTCTATTTTTTTACGATCCATGTATCGTGCCATACATCCATTTTCCATGCATCGTGAGTTTTCTTGGTTTTTCTTTTTTTTGTTACGTTTGGGTCTCTTTTTTTTTTCTTCAATTTTTCTTTCATAATTAACATGTTTCTCTTACTTTCATGAGCATAAGAAAAGGCGAACGCATGAACGCCTCCATAGTAAAACAACAGCCGTCGAATAACACAGGTAACCGACGTTGACGCTTCTACTGCAACGAGAATGCTGATGAGCACACAAATTATATTTTCTCGTTCTACTTCTTTCTCTTTCTCTTATGGAATCCTTTTCGCATGATCAACATTATGACTGCCATACAAATCTTAGTTGAACATCATTTCAGTGAAATAGAAAATAGATAATAGTTCTCACAAAGCGGTGCGATAGTACCGCCTACTCTAGTCTTCCTATCTGTTACTGATCATCATTATCTGTATAAATTTAACTGTAAGCTCCATTTGTTTCAAGAGGCCTACAATTATACATGTTATTTATTCATATAGAAACACGAAACATTCATTACTATATATAGTTCGTATATATTTATCAAAAATGCCTGGACGAAAAATTCGTGTGACTTCATATTCATCTTTATTTATTATTGGTACTTCACTCACAAATCCAGCAACAAAAACTATGAAAGGTAAAAATAGTAGATTATATATCTTCTTAATAATTATATGCTTTTCATTTGATAAAGAATCTCAATGTTATATTGAGATGATGTTCATATATATATTTTGAAGTTCACTTTGAAATATCGCAAAGCTAACTAGTTGCATTTATAAGGTAACTCAATTTAAAGACCAAGGGCGACAATTATTTACGCTTTATAACAGCTTGTCGGAGACAGACTTTTTTCTAACATACAAAGAAAAATGCCGGAGGTCACGCTTCGAATATTCTTAAAAAATTGACGTCATTCACCGTCAGCTGTCATGATCATAAAATGTCCGTAACACACTAGAAAGTCTAAATGAATTACCAAAAAAATATCGAAAACTGAGATGAAAAAGAACCTAAAGAACTGACAGTTGTTATGTGCTTTTTTTCGTTGTATGTTAACAAGTCTAAAAATGAGATGTTAATGAGTCATATGCCTGATAACAGACGATGTTAGAATGGAAAAATGAAGGGCGTAGTTGTTTGTTGTCATCATGGTTGTAATTTGACATACGCTTTGGCTGCTATTCGTGCATTAAAGCGATCAATCTATCATTATTGTCAAATAATCAATTATCGACCACGTGTATAGACCGACTAATAGAGTCTTCTATGACGACTCTAATGTGAAAAAAAGCAATATATTATACAAGGTCAATTTTTATACAGAGAAAAACTCATGAATACAGAAATAAAAGAAAAGAAACAAGGAAGAAAAAGAAACTCAAGATTTCTTGCGAACGACTAAGTTCATTGATAAACAAAAATTGTCCTAATTAGATTTTTACCTAGATCAATTTGCGTGTATATTCATTATATTCGTTAAAAATTAGTTGTATGTATGTTATTTTATTGAAGAATTAGCCGTAAGGCAAATCCGATTGAAATCATTATTTTTGAACAGATAGTGCATCAATTCATCGGAAGTTGATGATATAAATACTTGTTTCGGAAAAGAAAAATAGAGAGAGAGAGAGAGAGAAAAAAATGAAGACTGATGATGGTGTTGTGGTTGATAATTGAGAATATTCTCTTGTCTTCCTTCATTTGCTTTTGACACATTTGTGTATTTACAATAGATATTACTGCTTTTATTTGCTTTTAGAAACTCCGATGTTGATGAAGATGAACATATATTTCATTTCATTAACATCCGACAAATGTTAGAGTGATTCAAGCATTCCATTGACAAATAGATAAAGAAGTCTGGTTTTTACATCCATTTTTTTAAGTAAAAGACATAGACATTTAAAGAAAAAGCATGTATGTGTGTGCGCACATCTATACGTTTGCTGGAATGAAAACTGCATAAAAAAATGTTTCAAATCAGTGAAAATTTGGTTCAGGTTGAATTTTATCAAAACAATAGTGGTCATTTTTTTATTAAATTAAATGATGGTACAATGATTGATGGTGTGATTTGTTTTCTTTTAGGTTTTTTTTTCCTCTTCTACTCTTTTTCTCTTTTTAATCATCATAAATATAAGAATTCGCTTTTCTTTCTTTTAGTGTCAGGAACAACAAGCACAAAACGACATCATCATCATCATCATCATCATCAGCATCAGCATCAGCATCAGCATTCATCAAAAACGAACAAAACAGCAGCTGCAAGAGCAGCAGCAATGGTTAATCATGAAACTGGTAAGTTATAAAAAAAAAACAACTAATTTTACTTTAGGAAAGATATAAAAAGAAAAACAATTGTTCGAGTCGATAAAAAGTAAAGATGAGAGAACAATAGAAACAAGAAAAGAAAAAGAAAAAGAAAAAGAAGAACTAAAAAGTTGGAGTATTCTTTCATTATTAACATAGAACATTTGGCAATATCTGGTTTATTTCATGACTTTCTGCTTTAAACTCAAAAGTAAGCATTCATGAAAATATTGAAGTAACTAAAAGTTTAGATATTAGAAAGCAAAAGAAAAAAAAATATATAGTGAATATCAATTATTGTGTCCCTTTCAAAAAAAAATATGTTGCTTTCTCATCGATGACATTTATGACAAAAGATAAAATCCATATGATGTCTTTACATATGAATATACATTAGCATAGTAGTCTCATATTTTCTGTAGTCTAACACATCTTCTGTGTGTTTTTTCCTATTTTCCTCTTTCTCTATGTTAGGTATCTAGCATTCGAAGATGATTTGTTTTCTATCTTCTATTCCTTCTTGCTGTACTCATATAGTACGCAGTATCTGTTGTCAGTTGTTTTCTTCGTTTATATGTCCATTAGTTAATCTAACTTGTTACAAAAAAGGAGTTTCTTTTATGTGAATCACAAAAAAAAACTAGCAACGACATTTTTGGGTAAATAACTTTTTCTATATATGTTTGTTTACTAATTAAGCACTCATAAGTAGAAAAATTTCTAAAAGAATTGTACATATATACATTTGTTTCGCTTGATTATAATCGACTTGTATATAAATTTACACACGCACACAGACAGATATATATATGTAATATTACTATCATTATATCGTAATGTTATTATCAGAGAATCTGTCACCGATCTTCTCAAGCAAATCAAAATCGAGTGATAGCACTGATAATGGTGGAATCAGTGGTGGAAGAATTTCGCATGAAACTATTGAACACGATGTTAACAATTTATCTAATATGAATAATCTACCAGCAGCAAATGCATTTGAAGCATTACAAGTCAGTAGTGATAGGTAAGTAATTCTTTATCTAAACCATATAAGATATACTAAGATCTGTTTTTTTTCTATTGTTTTTGACAAAAGACGAAAGATGTTAGATTCTTGTTTTTGTTCTAAAACTAGAATATGGTATGCTATTTTTTCTTCACCTAAGAGAGTAATTATCTATGACCTATATGTATTGCAAAATAGATAATGTAATGTGCAAACAAGTAAATCTCTTGGAAGTCACTTGAGTATCTGTGTTGAGTCATATTCTATTTTTAAAACAAACTTACTTACATATTGTTTTAAGTATATTTATAACAATGAAAGCATAGACTGATGTCAAATAATCGAAGTATTACATTACATTTTCTTTTCTATTGTTTTTTTTTTCTCATGTAGATTACGAACAATAATTGCTGCTCTTCATTGCAATATACTTATAAGAAAAGCTGATTTAGTGCGTAATTTAGATTACGCTGCTAACGTTCTTGATGCTGCTCATCAAGATGAAACTCGGTAAGTTTGATTAGTTTTTTTCATATCATCTTTTTCGTAGAACCCCTTTACTTGAACTATGTGCAAAATCCTTATATATCATCACAGAAAAAAACAGCGATCTACTCCGGTAGCACCTATACGGCGGTAAGCGCATGAGATATGTACGCTCATTATCGTACACTAATCATCACATAAACAGCACTTCAACCTTCCACTAACCACCATGATCACAAGTATTTAAATAACAAAAGAAAATCATAATGCTTGATTTTTTTTTCCTGCACCTATAATAATTCAAATTAAAATCTCTTTTCTTCCTATCAATAATCACATATATACACAATGCTATGATTTTTATCAACTGCACTTTGATTTGACATACATTTGAATTTAAAAATCATAAGACAAGAAAAAAAAACACAACTTTCTTTGCTGTGAATAATATCTATATATATATATTTCCAAATACCATAGAATAGCATCAATGCAAATATGGTATTTGGATAAGCTACTTTGCTTTTCTTTTTCTTTTTTTGTAATCAAGATCTACCGCATGATCATTCATGGTTTTTTTCTATTCCGTTTTTTTGTTTTTTTAATTCATACATTTATTCTAGCATGCTTTTCTTCTTCTTCTTTTCTATTCTCAAAGACCAATTGCAATATTTTGATTAGAATTTCGTCTTTTGACACCAACTATCATCAACAATATTAAGAACATCTTTACATTGACGTTTGATATATATATAACTAAAAAAAAGACAACCGTCCGCGATAATTGTCATGTCAGCAATACGTTAAAAGTGGGGAAAAGAGAAAGTTTTTTTTATATAGCTGAATAAATATTACTAAAAAAAAAAAAAAAGAAAAGAAGAAGAAATGAAAGCAAAAGATATTCATTTTGATGTGTGTTTACGTCAGATATATTCTTTTTTTGTTTTTTTATATTCTATAGACGACTTATGGAAGAAGACGATGGTGCATTATCAGAAATGGAACCAGATTCTGTACCAAATGAAGTACGAGATTGGTTAACAATGACATTTACACGATCAATGTCAACATTAAAACGACGGCCATCAGATAAACCAAAATTTAAAAGTGTTGCACAAGCAATTCGTGCAGGAATCATGGTTGATAGGTGCGTCACAGATATATTCTTATTTTTCTTTAATTTGATGAGATATGAAGAGATGAAAAGAAAAAAGAAAAAGGAATTTTGATAGATCATAAATCATACATATCTATGTTAGCAAAAAAATGATTGTTTTTATTATTGTGTGTTGCAGCTGTTCCAGGTATGACTTAAGCAGTCGCTCTAATTCTAGATGCAGTCCGCATTTTTTGTCGTATACTTTAAATGTTTCTTATTCTATTTTTCTATTGCTATATACTTCTCTTTTCCTATTTTTTCCTGTTTTCACCATACTTTTCTTCTAATCACCCTTTATCAGGATTGTAAAAAAATGGACTCTACATGTTAAACTAAAGGTATGAATATAATAGTAATAATAATATACTAAGAAATATTTAAAGGAAAAAAAACCAGGCATGATATGCCAGTTTGGGTTTGATAATGTGCATGTTTACCCTCCTGATTTGGGTCTGACGCTCGCATTGGCATCCATTGTTTTGTGTATGTTTTCTAGGTACCTGAGGCGCCTGTCTATCGACATTAAATTTAAGGTATTTTAATCATCATGGTTGATTATATCATTCCAATATCCTATACTATTCTTTCTTTCATCTGAGTTCCTTATATCAAATTAGATATTTTGTTTTTTTTCAATACTTTCTTTTCCTTTCTTTCTTTCTTTCTTTCAAAAAGTCTATGTACGAGCTTCTTTGTGACGCACACTTAACATTCACGCATAACTTTGCAAAACACACACACTTACACATATTTACATACACTATTTAATAGTAGTTATCAATATGTTTTGTTATTATCAATACACGCTAGCTGGCTATATAGTGCACATATACAAAAAAACAAAAAGAAAAGAAAAAAAGACTAAAATCCCTTTAGAATATATCGACAAAATACTTCAACTTACAGTGATCTATTTCATCAAGTAAGTTGGTCAATAGTCAGGCAAAATAAGATAAACCTTTTGTCTTTTTTTTTCTTCCCATGTTTTTTTTTTTTTGTTTGCACGAATGCAATAAATGTGCCTGCTTTCAATGTTGTTTTAATATGTTAATGTTAGATTATCATAGAATAAAAATTATTTATTGATCAGATATTTTCTTTTGTTTTTGTTTATACATAGACAATCAATGAATGGACATTTGATGTTTTTTCTGTTAATGAATTTACAAATGGTCAATGTTTACGTTATATTGGATTTGAACTTATGCAACGTTATAATTTACCAAATAAACTTCATGTAGAAAGGTTTTTTTAAACCTAAAATAGAATAATATTATTCTATTTATAGATTTCTTTAACTGCTCTACAAAATTTTCTGGAACAAATGGAAAGTGGTTATAGTAAATATCGAAATCCATATCATAATTTAATTCATGCAGCTGATGTTTTACAAACAACATATCAAATCATTTATAATTCTGGTCTCATGGTAGAGGTTAACGCAGTTTTATTGTCTTCTTTTGCTTTGTATAGTTTGTTAATCCAAAAAAAAAAATTTTTGATTTTTTTTTCTGCTTTTTGTGTAATCATGTATGATGTTTTGTTTTTCTTTATTTTCCTATTTATTCTCAGTATTGATACTGAAATCTACGTGATTCTTTTTTTCTTTTTCTTCTTCGTTATTAGAATTGGTTAAGTGATCATGAATTATTCGCAATGTTTATTGCGGCTATCGTACATGATTTTGAACATACAGGAACATCAAATAATTTTCATATTCAATCAAGGTAATATTATATTCAATTTTAATTCATAGAAAACAAAAAAAATGAGTTCAGAGTAACTTGCTACCAGTTTTTCACAGAAATCTTCGAGTATTTTATGAGTTTTTTTGCTTTTGACTACAAAATGTTTCTAAGTATTCCATCAGCCAACTTGTAGATGGATATTTTCATAGAATACTATAGAAATCGAACAGACACCTGGCAGCTACTTGTGTACGGACGAGAAAAGTTCTCTAACTGATAAATTGCTTTTGAATCAAAGCTTTGCGCATTATATAGAAACAAATAAGCTATGAATATTCTGCAAAAAACCTTGCACTTAGCCTATTATTACGGAGATTACTACACTTGTATGTCGCTTTTCTGGATGAATAACCACAGAAAAATTGATTTTCGAATTTTCACTTGCAACTTGGTATGCAAGCGGAACTTAGCGGGAATAGTTTATTGGGAAAGTTTCAAATCTTTTGATTTTATTCTTTCTTGCAATAAGAACATAAAAACTATTAGTTTATATGAACCATGTAGAAGACACACTATTAACATAATTATATCTTAGGATAGGAATAGTGATCAGTTATGAAACATTTACGAAGAACTATTCTCATTAAGACCTATGTTTATGGAATATTTTAAGTCAAAGTTCAAAAGATTAGTTTTTCTGGTAACCTGAAAGGAACATGGCATCAATGTAAAAAATAGTGTAAAAGTGTAGTATCTCCACAGAAACAAAGCTAATGACACAAACTCTCTTCACAATATTCAAAGCGCTAGTAGATCAACATAATGCACATAGTCTCGACTCAATGTCATTCCTCAATTGAAGAAGTTTCCTAATCAGTACATTCATTAGAGAAAGATTATTTATTTGGGAGACTTTTGCTTAAGTTAACTGGATTTTAGGACTGAAGGTTCAGCGTTTTTTTGGCAATTGATGAGTAATAAAATACGGAAGAAAAACGAAATTTTTTTCAAGAGTGAAGGTTCCTTCCTGAATAATTATTGTATTGAATCAAAGAAAATTTCCTCGACTGAAAAATACTTTTCTCGAATAGTCCATAAATAGAATATTTAATTAAAAAAAAAAATTTCTCTACATTGATCTAAGCGATTCAGGATTTTATTTCTATGTATTAAGTTCATTTTCATTTTTGAGGAATTAATTAGAAATAAGAAAGTAGAATATTATTTTTTAAAATAAGATTATCAGTTGCAACATAGATATTCAAAGAAAAGATTGCAGCTAATGCTAATGAAAAAAAAAACATTATTAGAATTATAATGTAGAAATAAATTTGTATATGAAAATGAAATCAATATTCTATTAAGATGAAATTTCAAAAAATTTGCACTAAAAAATTATTCAATAAACTTAATATCAATTACAAAACAATAAAATAAATCAAATTGGACATAAAAAAAATAATAAATATTTTCTTTTAATAAAAACAATTTAATATGTTTAGGTCTGATGTCGCCTTAATATACAATGATCGAGCTGTACTTGAAAATCATCATGTAAGTGCAGCATTCCGATTAATGCGACAAGATGAATACAATATAATATCAGAATTTACATCGGAGGAATATAAGTATGAGCAAAAAATTATTTTTTTTTGTTATTTGTATTATTTCTCGATGCTTTTAAGGAATTTTCGACACATTGTTATTGAAATGGTGCTCGCAACAGATATGAGTTGTCATTTTACACAATTAAAAACCATGAGAAGTCTTTTAAGTATGCCAGAAAAGTAAGTTTATAAATATAAATATATATATAGATTACATCTACGACAATTAGTCGCAATACTGAAAAGCAATCAGCAGAAACAGAATTTTCTTAGCACTATGGGGAAATAACTTAGAGAGTTTCAGATGAAAGCATGCCTCTGGCTTTCAGCTGCCACGCGGTAAATTCAATAGCCTGATATCATTTTAACAATTATGACTAGCTGTAGCTATGTATAGAAAACCAGCCGCATGCTAAGTTCTTGCGCTTTCGATATACACTACCTATCATAAGAGTAGATGTATGTCATAATGTAGTCATCGGATGGATGATCCGAGATGAATAGTTGTTAATGAATTGTCCAAGATCATTTCATGTCTGGTAATATGTAGATTTGTACACAGTACCTTCTGACTACGTATTGAACAACGTAGCCTTTTGGTCATGACGACTGAAGTTCAGAAAATAACTGATAGTCTATTCAAGGAGGAGAAACATTAGATATGAGTATCAATATAAGTGCTTAATGAACTCTTCTCATTGAATATGAAGACTTATATACGAGAGTAAGTAGTAGTTGCTTTAAAAGAGCTTCTGTTTACTGCAGTTGTTGCTATTCAACAATGAATATAGTTTTTGTCTTTTCATAAAATTTCAATAAATTCAAAATGTGCATGTTAATACATTAATTTATCATTTACACGTGAGACCATCCACAAATCCATGTTATAGGAGTCATTAAATCTCATATCTGTCAGTAAAACTTCGTGAGATGTAAAATAGGAACCATGATCAATTCTATATTGCGACTAATTGTCCATTTCTCATAAATATTATTTTTAAGAAATTCAATTTATTTTTAACATAGTATTGAAAAAGCTAAAGCATTAGCACTTATACTTCATTGTGCTGATATAAGTCATCCTGGTAAACCATGGGATATTCATCATACGTGGACACAATCTTTAATGGAAGAATTTTTTAAACAAGGTGAAAAAGAAAAAGACCTTGGTTTACCTTGTTCACCATTATGTGATCGAGATAATACACTTGTTGCTGAATCTCAAATTGGTAAATATTTTGAATTAATGATTTTATATTTTCTCATTGTTTTCGTTGTGTTTTTGTGTGAAAGGTTTTATTCAATATATTGTTGAACCATCATTTATTGTTGTCGGTGATATGTTAGAAAAGGTTCTTAAATCGCTTGTTGCTGCTGATTCTGAACTTTTATCACCATCGATACCAAATAGAAGTTTGACTTCATCACCAGCACCATCAGCTGAATCATCAATTGAATCAAGTTTTCAACATGATGAACAAAATGGGTAAAGAAAAACAAAGTTTTAAACTCAAAAAAAAAAACCAAATTCTTTTAGACATGAAAGAAAATTACCGTCATCCATGACAACACCAATACCTCGATCAACTATTGTGCGAAGACCATGGATTGATTATCTTAAGTCAAATCGAGAGCGATGGGTACAAGAAGCAGGTTAAATAAAATATAATAACTTATTTTCAAAAAAAAAAAAAATTCAACTTTTTTTTTTGTTTTATAGAAGAAGAAAGACGTCGAAAACAATTAAATGTTATTGAAGAAGAACCATAAACGAAAACTTTCTTCGAAATCTTATAACATTCCATATTGACGTGCTCATACATATTCTTTTTTTTTGTTACTGTGCGATTTATCAATTATGGTTATCGAACATTTCGATAAATAAGAACAGTGTAATTGTCAATAATTATATATATATACATATACATGTATATATCTATGTGTGTGTAAATATTTTTATGTTCTTATCCTGCCTACACGAAAAAAAAAGATTTAGTTTTGCTTCAGTGATGCTTTTGTTTTTTTTTCTCTGTCTTTCTGCTAATGTTTATCAAATTTAGTTAACAATATGTTTTTATAGTAAAGTGTTTTATGTTTGATTTGATTCGTTTGTTAAGAGCAAGAATATTGAATATTTATTTATTTATTCATTTATTTATTCTAACAAATCATGGAAATAGTTTTGATGTTTTCTAAATCTTTTATTGAATTTAATTCAATAGATTTCATATTGAATGATTTGAAAACTATGGATAAAATTTAATAATCAATTAAGTACAATTATGTGTGAATAGTTTAGGTTTTTATTTCAGTTTTTTTGCCTTGTTTGAATTTATATTAATCAAAAAAATATGATTTTTGTTGGAAATACAAAGTTTTAAATCAAAACTTTATGTTGAATAATATGAAGGATTCGTTAGCTACATATGATTGATCAAAAACTTTAAAGTTTAAATTGATAAAACATCAATTGATTCTGTTACTGTTAGTTAATGTAACTTAGATTTCATTTGGATGTTTTTTGATAAACTCTGTAGCTGATTTAGACTTGCAAATGTGAGAATAAATATTGAATCAATTTCTTGGACAAACAAATAGACATGTGTGAACGCAAGATTTGAAATATACCGGCTGCTTTTAAGTTGTTAAAAGAAAAGCTTGAAATCAAACATCAAATGATCCAATTTATGTAAGATAATGCGGAAACCATGAAGACTAAATTCTATGACTGTTGTAACAATATCGATAGTCTTTTAAAACATACTCTGCAAAAGGTCGTAATCTTTCGTCATACAAGAGTTCTAATTTTTCAGATGAGCCCTAATTTTTGTTTATTGGAACAATGTAAAAAGTGGGATAATGAAACGAATTCGCAATTGGATAGACCTTTAAAACAGTCTCATGTTCTAATGCATAAATCAAAATAATACTATAATGGCGGCTACAAAAGGACCTTCGACATTTAACCTGATGATGCTCGAGTAGATTTACTTCTTTTGATATTTCTGTTGTTGCTTAAGTATTCTCTATCCGATGTGTCATGTACTCTGGACTGTCTAGAGTCAGAGTAGATAACATAGCAAAAAGTTTTAGTATAATGCCCTGCAATCCAATCGAGTAATTTTCCTCAATGCGTATTCGTACGTGCGAGCTTAGTTCGATATGTTGAATGTGGAAAAACAATTGATAAGTTGAGTCTGAATATGATTTCATACTCGAACCCTAATTGATAGTTACATAAATGCTGTTAGCAAATCTTGATTCTAATTGATCAAAATTGTGTTTTTTTTACGGGTGTCAATGTGAAAAACTGTTTGATCATGTTGTTATACAATAGAATAATTGACATTAATAAAACTAGATTTTTTAAATATTTATGATAAGCTGCATATCCGCAATAAAGTTGATTCAAAATGTAGCGATCCACCGTCATGATGAAAAATGCATAGATGTATTTGCTTGTATATTCACAATTATTGCATATCACTTGGTATTGCTGTTAACTTCAGTGTCATCAATAACTGGAAAAAGTCTAGGATATTGATTCATAAGGTTGATTAACAAAATTCTCATCAAAGCATGATTGATTCTTTATTTCTATCCGATAAAATCGATCTATATCGTTTTAGTAAGACGTTTCTCAGCACTTCAATCTAACTGAATTTTTTACGTTCAATAATTAGAAACAACGAATCCAACTCCAGTAATCGCATCGTAGTTTGCTTCCTTTAATATTTCGTCTTAATATGGTATCGTATATGATCGTATCTATGTCGTATTTTTATTCAACGCAGGTCTGAAACATAGGTCTAGGTTGCGATAAAATACGATGCAGAAACTACTGATATTTTACCATTCACAATCGTATATGCACCCAAATATGTCCGATCGCAGTAATTACACTTTTCACATAAGTGTTTTCTAACATAACCTTCACATGATCACCGGCTAGCAACGTTCAATCTAAATAGCATTCCTAAATTTTTGTTTCAAGGTGTTAGCGCCATCTATATTTCTTAAATGTTCAAATATTCAGAAAAATTACATTAACATTTATCAGAAAACATGAAAGACTCCATTTATTTCAAAAAAATTATTTAAGCTCAATAAAATTTTCTTCAACATAACAAGAAAAACTGCGGGTCTTTGTTTCATGTTCAGTCATTGTTATTTCTTGATGTTTTTTCTCATACATTCACTGTGTCGTTCTCTTTCTTTCAATATCAGAACTATGGATTCCACAAATATTATAATTCCATTTGATTATCCATTTGCTATTTTGGGTAATATAAATTCTTTTCGTCCTTGGTTTTTCTTCGTCTAAACACAACTATATCTTTTAGAACATCGTCATAATTCTGATCCAAATAATAAACTTGTTTATGCTGTTGCGGATGGTCAATATACATATGGTCCACTTTCATTATATCAATATCATAATGATGAAAAATATTCGAAAACGTATACGAAAATTTTCTATTTTTTTCATTTCAAATAAATTTTTGTTTTTTTTTTTTCTAGAATTCGAAGCGATGAATTACCACCATCATTACCATGCAAAGTAAAAAATAAATTATGAATTTGTTTTATTTTGATTAGTTTATTTTTATTGAATAAAGGAATATTATATAGTTGAATCAGGTTTCTCAACTGATGACGCCATTGAAATAGTTGATGAAAATCGTGGACTTATTTATGTCAAAGAAATTATATTCACTGATGATGAGAATGATGAATCTATTGTAACGATTGATCAAGAGCCTGAACAAGGTTTGTTTTTTTTTTGTTGAGTCTAATTTCATTACATATAAAGAAAATTTTTGGTTTTAGTTCACATGAAAGAACTTTTTAAAGAAATGGCTGAATGTAAAAATGAAATTCGAAGTCTTAAATCAATTGTAAGTTATAATTGATTTTACTAAATAATAAAAACATTCCTTTTTCTTTTTCAGGTTTTATCCGAAAATCGTTTTATTAAACGTCGATCAACGTCAACAGGTAAATAAATTCATAAGAATAATATTATTTTTTTTATTTTACTAAATCTTATTCTTCTATTTAGATTCACCTGGTTTTCGAAATATAGAAAATAATTCTAAATGGATTCGTGGTGGTGCTGGTAATCGTTCAGCTAATACTGGACATATGTCCGATGATGGTGGTATATCAACACCTTTACGTTATAAGAAAACAACAACTGGTATTCGTAAACCACAACAAGTACAATCATCAATTGTTCAACGTAGTGTATCAACAACATTATCAAATAAAAATGTTTTAACACCATTAAGAAATAAAACAACAATGTCATCAGTAACAGCAAAATATACAACACCAATGAGTACAACAATATCAACGAACAAAAGAGTTGTTTTAAAAAATGTTAAATCATCTGGTTATGGACAATTTACAACAATTAATAATACAACAACAACTATTAAAAAACAACAACAACAATTACCTGCAGTTGCTACACCTGGAAGATCGTTTAGAAAATAAGAATTCTTTTTTTTTTTTCTCTTGTGCATTTCATTTTCGTTTTCTCTTATCGATGTGTTTGTGTGTGTATAGTTCATAACTTTAAATAATTCTCTTGTTAAATATGATTAAACAAAAAAAAAACAGAATATAAATTTATGTATTTTCATCTATATAGACTATTTGTGAAAATAAATTGTATACTTGTTCAGAAAATTCTATGAATTGAGATTTTATTTAAAAAAATTTTTAATATGAACCATTAAATATTTTATAAAATATGAACTAAAAAGGAGTGTTGAAGTATAGAGGTAATAATTTGAACCTACTGCCTTTTTACTTGAATCTGTCGGATCCAAAATTTTTCGAACGAGTCTAAGTTTAATCCAACAGGCTCGACTCTTTACCGTATACGCCGGGTATCAATTATATCTCGTCATAATATATGAACTATTTATTGTATTTATGAAGTATTGAGTAAATCGATGGTAAAGACGTGTGTGCCAAAATATATAGAAGAACATAATGTTCTAGTTATTACCAATAGCAGCTATCTCTTGTGTCACATTGTAATCCCATGCAGATAGCATTAACAGCCTTTAAATTGTACTCAAAGGTTTTTTTTGGATTTGATATAATGAAATTGTAAAGCGTAGAAGTTAGAAAATATGATTTTCACTATGGAACTGGTCATGGATATTTTATAATAAATATTTTCGAGCTATGATATTTAAAAGATTTTTAACGTGTGAGTGAATTCTATGTGAAGTTCTTACCAATGATAGACAGTATGAACGTCAATAAAGATATTTCATAGTCTATTAGATTTCGAATGTGTGGATTAGAAAATGTCACTGGTTATTATACAATTATTTTTAAAGATTAATCAAATTCATTCATAGACATTTTTGTTCTCTTAGTTGTTTCATTGATCATTTAATATTTTCTTATTTTTGTAAGTATACAATAATGTGACATTTCATTGCTGTAAATAACTTCTTCAGACAAAATACATATACCAAACTAAATATTTCAATGTAGGTATTGTAAATCATCTATTGTGTATTTTATCCGAAGAAATGATTTACAGTAACGATACATTAGATTATTGTATCGTAATAAAAATCTTTTAGAAAATTTTCTAGTTTTTTTTTCTAGAATGATAATGAACGAAATATTGAAATCATTTTGTAAATATTATTAGTAATGATTTATTAATATTCCCGATGGTTCATGGACCGAATATGATACAGTGAACTTACTGAATAAAAAATTATTTCGAAAAGCTTTTATCATTCATTTGTTTTTTTTTGAACTAGTACATCAGTCAAGTTCTCTTGATGAACGTATAGATGAAAAAATTCTGAAGATCATATAGCATGTGGTGTTATTGATATTCGCCACTGTTATTGAACGTTCATTAATCCTAGAACAAACACAATTGAATACGAATAATTCATGCTCAATAAGTTTTGTTTCTACATTTCGTCAATTATAATATACATTGAGAACAATGAAATAAAATCTATGGACATTCTTTTATTTTATATTATTCTTTCGTTTGTATATAATCCGTTTTATTTGATGTAATTTAAACTTAAAAAAATATTTTTTTTTCTATAAAAAAAGAAAAAAATTTGTTATAATACATAATCAATGCTTCGTGTGTTGTTGTCTGCTTTTTTGCTAGAAGATAAATTCTTTTTTTTTTTGTAAATTTATCTTAGTTTCCTAAGAGCAATACGTATACGAAAATAAATATTACATTGAGTAGTTATCGTTATCGCTAAAATTATACACACGTCATTTATGGACGCCGAGATTTTTATAAAGTATAAAGGCATGTGTCCTTTCGAAGTTTGCGGTTTTTGTACAACGTTCTATGCATCTGTAGTCCTAAATATAGATGTTCGTCCTTCTACAAGAGAAAATTTCAATAAAAAGCTTATGAACTTGATTAAAACAAACATTTTCATAATCTCGTGTTCTAAACTAATCCATTTGATTTTATCTAATATGCCTATATATATACGTACTCCTATATGTTATACCACCTGAAATTTCATTCAATACGTGTAGACATAATTTGCAAATATATAGGGCATCGAATAGACAATGATGTTTTGAATTGATCATAGTTGAGTATTATAATTTATTATAGTATTAGAGCTCAACATTATTTCTTACGATTCGGGAATCTATTTAATGATATAATCTAGATACTCTTAGAATTTTATTGAAGATTATAATGGATGAATTACGAATTTATAGTTCGAGAGTTTTCATCGATTGATGTTTGTCTGTTTGCTTGGCTATAGATTGGCAATGTTAATTTTTGCTTTCTTACATGCTCTTCTTGTCGTTGCTGTTTGTTTTACTCATACTTGCTTTGTAAAGTAGAGTCATTGATTAAAAAAAAAGAACGAAAAAAAAAACCGAAAGCACATGCATATCTTGTTTGCATAAATATTTTTCAATTTCATTGTTTTCATTTTCACATTTCAAAAACAAAGTTCAATATTGGATAAATGAATGAAACCAGTGATTCTGATATAAAATTAAGTATTAATCATGATGGTAGTATAGCATATATTCGATTTGATGGAGATTCAACAAGAAGTACGAGTTCATCAATTGTTCTTAGTAGGTGTAGTAGTGATGAAGAAAATGACGATAATCGTTATAAACCATCATTGCAATGGAAAAGACAAAAAATTTTGAATAATGATTGTCACCATTCGTAAGTTGACATATTTGTTATTTAGAGATTCTTTTTTATCTTTTCTTGAAAAGGTTAAGAACTAATCCTAAGAAAAAAAAAATCTACTATTAAAATAAAGAACGAAAGAAAAAGTTGATATATAGTCAAAACCAAAAGTTTAAGTGAAATTAGTTTTTCAGTATTTTTTTCACATTTTGTTTTTCAATTTTCTTTTTCATATTAAGAGGTATGGATCTGATTCAAATGGTAATATAGATAGTACGAGAAGCCAGCTACATGATGTATTATAGAATGCGACTCTGTCTGTTGATATAGATTTTTCATAATTAAAATAATTTTTTTCTACGAAACAATAAGTTTAAGTGCCTTTCAGCATTTTGCATTTCCTAACCAAGAGAGTTTTCCTAAATTGAAACATATATATATATATCAATCGATAGAGAATTTCACGCTCTATAAGTTTATAAAACAAGATTTTTTCCCCGAGTCGATCTTCACCTTCAAAACTTGGTTTTAGTGAGAATAGTCAACAAAAGTGAAAAAATTGAATTACCTCCAACAAACTTCCTCTTATTACAATGTTTTATACACCGTTAGAAAGAGCGTTCAAAACTGGACAAATATTGTATTTGTAGTTCGACTATCACTTAGTCTTCACACCCACATTATTGAAATAATGTTTTGAGAAACACAGTTAGCTAGTCTTTTTTTAATTATTTTGATGGGAGAAAAATGCTGACTATTCTCATTAAAACCAAGTTTTGAAGGTGATGATTGACTCTAGAAAAAATCTTGTTTTATAATCTGATAGAGCGTGAAATTTTCTATCGATTGATATATTTTTTTTTCATTTTCGAAAAAATCTCTTGGTTAGGAAATGTAAAATACTGAAAGGCACTTAAACATATTGTTTCATAGAAAAAAATTAGTTTAATTATGAAAAATCGATATAAACAGACAGAGTCGCATTCTATAATACATCATGTAGCTGGTCTCTCGTACTATCTATATCACCATTTAAATCAGATCCATACCTCTTAATATGAAAACAAAATTGAAAAATAAAATGTGAAAAAAAATACTGAAAAACTAATTTCACTTAAACTTTTGTTTTTGACTATAAGTTTAACATATGTAGATATATATACGAATAACTAAATATACACATACACATATATGTTATACGAAAGATTTATTATTAAATTATGAGAAAGAAAATTAATAATTAACTATGTTGTTGTCACAACAATTGTCTACCATAGATTCTTGTTCATTATCAAAAAAAGAACCTATGTAGGAAGAATAGTTTGTTTGTTTGTTTATTGTGGAGTGTTTAAATTTTGTTAATTTCATTTAAGTGAACATCTTTCCAATGGTAACGATGCTCTTAATAATTTGCCAATCGATCGAAATTCTATTATGTCAGCAAAAGAAAATGTTGCAGTTTCGTTTGATGATGAACGACAAACAATAACATCAAGACGTTTACCACCTATACCTGCAGATAAACTTCATCGAGTAAGTATAGTATTTTTTTCAAAGATACAAATAAAAAAAAACTAATATGATTCAGAGAAATCCACATACAGTTCGACAAGAACTTAAAATGCTCGATGATTTTGTACCAGACACAACTCTAGCTGATGTACAACTAAGTGAAATGCCCGGCCTTCAAAATACAGGTAAATATTCATTTTTGAATACAAAAAAAAACGAACTTTGGAAATTTAATTAGAACAATGGAAACGTATTGCTGGTCGAACAGTTCATCCATCACCACCATTATCACGTCAATATTATCAAACAGTTGTATCAACACTTGAATTACAAGATGGACAAATACCACAACCATTAGGTTCATATCGTCGACCAGGTCGTAGTGAAAATGAACAAAATCTACCAAGTGTTACCACATCTCCATGGAGTACATCACGTCGTCGAGTTATAATTAGTTCATCAGTTTCTGTTGTTATTGTAGCTATAGTAGTTTCTGTTGTTCTTGCTGTTACATTAAGTAAGAAAAAAAATATTTTCTCAACAATTAAATAATAATCAATTTATTTTTATTTATAGCTGCAAGCTCAGATCGAATAACATCTGATTATTATGAAGGAAGTATTTATGTTCGTGCAAATTTTGATCCATTACTTTTAGATCCAACATCAACATTAGTCAGAGATTATAAAAAAGAATTTTGTGCATTAGTAAGTCGAAAAGTTTTTTTTTTTTGAATTCATGATTGAATCATTTTCTTTACATATAAATGAATGAAGAGCACAGCAAGGATGTCATAGTACTC